CTGTGCTCATCAAGGAAGGTTAGGAAGTACTTAAAACCTCCTAGTGACGGTAAGTCCATCTGACATACATCAGAACGGACGAGATAGAGAATCTGAGTGGCACGTTTTTCACTGCGCTGGAACGGTGTCTTCGTCTTCTTTTCCTTTACGCACACATCGTACTGTGGAATATTGTTGGCACTGGAGAACCTTAATCCAGTCGCTGCCCCATCTCTCAGCTGTTTCATATAGACTGGGTTGAGGTTGGCTAGGTGATTGTGACAAAGCTCGGCACTTTTTTTCGACACTGCACTCGTAGTGGGTGCGCGTTCACGTGTTTTCTCTTCGGCAAAATGTTTTAAATTTACTTTGTAAATATTTTCTTTTATTTTATTTCCACACTCTATAAGGTTTTGGTGCTGGTCACGTACTTCACATTGTTGGGCATTAAAGAGTACTTTAAAGCTTATGTGTGTGACCGCACTCACTGATATTATGTTTACAGAAATGTCCGGAACGTAGAGTACGTTAGATAACTTAACTTTCGAATATCCTCCCGTGCATGTATTTACTTCACCTTGTCCTTCTACGGTTGATTACCCCTTATTGGTGACGATGACGCGTGCAGTCGGTGACTCACGCATGTTGCCGATAATATTGAGGTCACGGTACATCTGTTTACTTGGGCCAGAGTCTAAGATCTAATGATTGGTTTGCTCGCTTTTCATTGCCGTGAAACTGAACAAGGTTCTCGCGTCCTCTAGCTCCGAGCTTAATTGACTGCTAAAATTTTCGTGGTTGACATCTATATTGTGTGCGTGCTTGCGTCTGCAAGGTGATGCAGAGTAACCCCGCTCAAAATGTCCATTACACTGGCATTTGACGTAGCGAGACTCTTTGCGCTCGTTTTCTTCCGTTTTAGAATGCCTTCGCTTGCTTTTGGCCAAACGACACTTACGAGCAGAATGAGAGTAGAGTCCTCCGGTGGCCTCGCCCTTGCACCCAGTATCCTCTCCTCCTGGAACGGTTTTGTATGTACGAGTTCAGTGGTGTTGTCTTGGCATGACGCCTCGAGTGCCATGATCATTGGTCGATAATCTGAGGAAAGGCCAGCTAGCAAGAGAGCACCAATACAGTCTTATGGTAAATTCATGCCTGTAGTACGCAGCTGTTGAGCCACTATTTGTATTTTGCAAATATATTCTTTCATTAATAGGCATAACTCTAGTCGTGTGATGGAGATTTCTTGCAGAAAACTGATTTTACGCTGCAAACCTTTATCGTCATATGCCTTTTTCAACTTTTGCCGAATCTCTCATGGTGTCGCTAGCTATGCCACACGCACATAGATTCCAAGATCCATAGAAAGGATAAGTCTTGCCGTAGCCTTTGTCTGTAACAAAACATGCTGGCTGATCTGTGCCCTGAGCACAGTCGACTCTATCGTGCACCACGTTCTGCTCGGAACTGCTCACAGTACGTTACAAGTGGCCATTTTTCCTTTGTTCACTCAGCAACTATTGCGTATTATCACTCACTCTAAAACGCACTTAATTTGGCCTTTTTACTCGTGGCTTGTCGACTAGCCTGGGCCCATAACCTGTATAACCTGTTATTTTTATACCTAGAACAGTGGGAGGTTCCAGGGATAAGGGTAGCAAAGTAAGAGGAGACACCGGATGGATTGCAAGTATTTTTATTCACCTTAGATACAATTGCTCAAAGCAGGAGAGTGTGGAGCAGACTAACTATATCAGTTTGCCTGTATCGTGTGCGCAAGTAGAGCGGTGCACGATACATATATACATACGCATGCGTGTATGCCTAATTTGCACAAACAAGATCGATTACTCATGTGTTGCTGGTTTAGTATAAGTGGTACACTTAGTTCTACTGGACTTGAAATCAAGATCTGAAGAGACAATAGCTCTACATTCTTGTTCATATGTACATTAGACGGTAAATAAAAAACTGTTGGATGGCCACTGCTTCTGTTCTTTCTCACAATCTGTCAAAATTTGCATTTTTTCCCATTAACTTATTAACTTGAAAATTAAATATTACATTTTTAGCGTACTTACTAGTGGCAGAACAATGTTGTTTAGAGTCTTAGAATTAGCCTTATTTTTATTACTTAGTAAACTAATTAATATAACTATAAGTTCGTCGAGGTCGTAATATGTATTTTTATATTCAACTCTGTTTTAATAATACTAGCATACATTTTATACGTAGCACCAACGTGTTCTTTATGTTTCCAAGTAGCAAATACGACTTGTCTATTAAATTCGTTCTTCTTCGAAAAAACTTGGTTTTTGTTTGCAAGTCCATCTTGAGTATGTTGTCAACAATAATTTTATTACAGCGTAAATAATTAAAAAATGTAATAACTCAGTTACCTTTCTTTGTACCTGAGATTTCATTTTTTTAATCATCAGTATTTGAAATTATTTGTGTTAGCTTTGCAGTTTTAGATTGTAGTGTGAGAGAGTTAGCAAAAAATGTTGGTAATTTTTACTTAATTTTAACTACTTAGAAAAAAATTGCCGTAAGTAAATGATATAAACTCAAAAAACTAAAATCGAAAACTTTTTGGTAGTGGTAAATGGTCCAAAAAATGGTAAAAATGGCCGAAACAGCTTTATTGTGGTGGAAATCATCAAATTACGTTAATAAATAGCTTTTATCAACACCCTATAAAAAATATCAGTGCTGAAATCAGTCGTAAACTACATCGTTGATTAATGGTGATTCAGCATTGAATCAGCGTTTGTTGAAAACAATAATAGTAATTAACTTCAAAACAGTGCATTTTTCATGGTAGCATTGCAATCTGAGCCATAAAAAGATCGAAAAAACAATCTGTGGATGAACTGATTGGTTCAGTTGTGACCTCAAAAATTGCTAAAAATCATCGATTTTACTAGAAATTTGAGAATTAAGAGCTGAAATATTAGGACGTTGTAGCTTTTGTACCATCCAACTACCACACAAAATTTAAAATGTATACTTTTTGCAAATCACAGCTTAATGCAAAAAAGCGCTTTTGTGAAATGTACTTAAGAAGCTTGTGGTGCGTTATTATTTACAAAATTATCTTCTTTAAAAGTTAATTACCAACTTACCAAAGCGCCAACACCTTTATTTCGTAAGAGTTGCTATTACCATTATTTCAGATAATGATATTATGCACTTGGCCTTGCAGTGAATGTAGAAGGGTTAGAAACTTCGCTACACCACGCTTACTTTGCACAGCTTGGTAAAGTAAGTGTACATTCAATCTTGCTGAATTTTGTGAGGTAGTTGATTGGCATTACAGCCACCTACTAAAATTTCAGCTCTTAATCTTGAAAAAAACGAAAGGTATGAAGTGTTAAAATTTCAAGCAAAGTTGACGGTTTTTTTGCAATTTGCGTGATCACTACTGGATCAATCGGGTTCATCTGCAGTTTAATTTTTCCTTTTTTTACGTATATCTAACGTTTTTCGGTTTTCGCAATTTTGACTACTTTTTTGGACCGTTTTTAGTACCAAAAAGTGTTTGATTTACTTCTTTTTAATTTGTATTACAATTATCTATTTAAGGCAATTTTTTCTAGGAACTCAGAATTGCAAACTCTAAAAAGCGATTCTATCCTACTATTGTACAAACACTACGTGATGGGTATGATATTTACATCTATAACTATGATTTCTCACTTGTATCTACAGCATCATAACGAGGCGGTGTTAATGGACAATACGAGATTCAAGTACAAAGTTATAATTTTTGACAATTAACAAGTACCTCTTTACCAACTTTAAGGAATTTTAACCAACCTTAAACTTCAATTGCTTTTTGAATTTTAAAATACTCATTACAAGTATACTCATTACAAGTATACGTATCACAAAGATCTTTCTACTTAAAACTTCAATTTTGTTTTTTTATTTTTTATGCACTATCTTCCTTTTTTCCAACAGTTTATCACAACGTTTATGAAAGACAAAACAAACAACAAGATGATACTTGATAAATTTCGCTGAGAGATGAAAATAAAAAAAATGGGACTACTTCTTTACATGATAGCGAAGTTAATCTTAAAAAAGAAAAATATAGTGATATTGTTTGCCTTTGTGCCAAACTAAAATTCAATAGCTAGCTAGTAGCTAGTAATGAAAATATAAACCAACGTAGCTAGCTCTATGCTAGCTGGCTAGGTGGCGCTTTTGCGCTCCTGTAGCTATTAAAATGGAGTAAGACTTTCAATTATTTTGTTTCTATTATTGTACAACTACGTAAAGAAATTATTCGTTACATATTGTATTTTACACTGTATAAATGCACATAAATACTTATGAACTGTATATTTACCTATAATAATATTGTTATTAACAAAAGAAATTCAATGCTACAAGAACTTTATAGTTACTTCTAAGTAAATACACGTTTAGCGTTATTTAAATACTAGAAATCTTCATGTTTGAAATGAAATAAGTATATAAATGCTTGTTAATATTAAAAATAATTAGTGAGTGAGGGATTATTTCTGTTTATTGGGTGATGTTAAAAATAGATGAAAAAACTTCTTAGCTTAAAATACGTATACGTAGGTCACTTTTATATAAAAATATTACTGTTAATGACACACTATCACTATTGGACCAGTTTCAAATATTATGGGCTAAAATTATGTAATAAAATCATGTGTCAGCTTTTTAAGCTCCATTTTTTCACTCAATTAATATATAATTTGGAGCATAGGTGGTATAAAACAGTTTATTTAAGGGGGCAGTGTGGGGTAAAATAATGGTATGGGGTGACAGAAAGGTACCATTAAATAATTTAATGGGTCAAAGTAATTGGAAAACCAGTTCAATTTTTTACTCTTATAGGGGAGCCGTGGAGGCGTGGATGGTAGAAGTGGCAGGGAGTGGCAGGGAGCTATCATGGAATACCTCACAGAAATGTGACTAAATAATATGATTAGATGTATACGTATATATACATATTATGTTAATACGGAGAACTCTTTTTTTAGGATCAATGGACATATCCCCCCTTTAGTGCACACCTAGATGAAAAAGGAAATATCTTTGCTCGAGGTAGTCAAGATATGAAATGTGTTGGAATTCAATACTTAGAAGCTATTCGTCGACTTCAATTGAAAGAGCAGAGACCTAAAAGAACTGTTCATGTTTCATTCGTTCCAGAAGAAGAAATAGGTGGTGTATTGGGAATGAAAGATTTTACTCAAACTAATGATTTTAAGTCTTTACATGTTGGCTTTGCTTTGGACGAAGGTGTTGCTAATCCAACTAACAGTTTTTACGTATTCAATGGAGAAAGATCAATCTGGCATGTACATGTTCATTGTCCTGGAAGTCCTGGACATGGATCTATGCTGTTAGATGATAATGCTGGTGAAAAAATTAGGATAATTATCGATAAATTCATGGATTTTAGAGCTGAACAAAAATCTAAACTTTCGAACTCCAACTCAAGATTGGGAGATGTCACTTCAATTAATTTGACAAAAATTTACGTATGTATAACTAAACCTATTTTTAGAGTAAAAATTACAAATATTTGTGTCAGTGTTGATAATGTTGGAAAATATTCTACTACAGATAAGAAATTTTTATGGTGTAAGAGATCTGCGGTTTGAATGAAAACTCATAATTACTGCAGCAAAAAAATATTTTTAATGCAAAAATAATCCAAACATTTGTGTATCCGGTATTAGAAACATCTAAAATTTTTTGAAACATTATTACAAAAATTTGCAGAGTTAAAAAATTTAATTTTTCTGAAACAGCACAAAACAGTATACATCGTAGAAAAAATTAGTTTACATGTTAAATGTATTATTTCATAGTTTGCATATGATATTACGTAGTTTTCTGTATTTTTCAAAAGTATGAGACTACTCACTACATTATGCCTTAGTTATAGAAGAGGTATTATACAGATATTAATTTAGTTTAGTGAAATTTTTTTTGTTAAATGTTGGACAAGCTAGTTATTTACTTTTAAGACTAACAAAATTTAATTATTAAATTAATTTTAAGAAAATGGGTAAATGAAAGCAGCGTGAAATTTACGAACAAAAAAAGTTGGAATATGTCTAATCCTGTAAGTCACTGGATAGTATTAAAGATTTTATACTTCCAGTGATTATTCAAATGACCATGAAACAGCTTATATCAATGATAATGATAATGATTTGCTAAGATATAGGTAATAATTGCAGGTTTAAGATGGTAATGATTTCTTGTAATGATTTCAAGATATCAAGATTTCAAGATATCAAGACAACTTGTCTTGATACATTCTTAAAACCGAGAACTAAAACTTGCTGGTATTTTTTGATACTCATAAGTTACTACTACTGACTTCTTACAGTTAAGCATGGCGAGAGCAAAACTCTTGAAGATGATGAGGTAGCTTGCCAAGCCACTTGCCTATGTTGGACAGTGGCTCGTCTGGCTGGCAGTGATACTTATTTTTCTTAGGGATAGCAATTAATAAGTAAACAAGTTCCAATTAATAATTTTATCGTTAATAACATCGAGACTTTCAGATAGTTCTTAGATATAGTGTTTCTTTAATTTTCGTTTTTTTTAACTTTACGTTCAGTGGCTTGCAATAAAATGGCAAAATTTTTATTTAATCTTACATCTTATTTGTATCATTTGTTTACCTAAAAATTATCCACGATATTCTTTTAACGACACAAAAATAAGATATTTGTTTATATTTAATGTTTAATTTTTTATTGAAATGAATTTTTTTACTTAGAGTGTTCTAATGGTGCCTTCAGAACTCAGTGCAGTGACAATAATTATTTAATACGAATAATTTTGTTATTTCATCGTATGAATATAACCTTTTAGAACCATAATACCTAAAAGTTCCTTAAGCAGGGCCATATTAACCATTAGTTATTATGATCCTCAAAAGTTTGCATTCTAGCAACAATATTTTCATTAAATGTTAATGATTTTGTTATATTTTTTTCTACGCTATTCTAGAAAAAATTGGGCAAATGAAGTTAGAAGCCATCAATTCTGAATAAACAGCTATTTGTCGTTTCTGATGGATTTACAAATATCTAAATTACATGACGTACAGTAGGTAATACTTACATTTTTTTAAACATTAAAATAGATAAGTATTTACGAATTAAAGTCCAGAAAAATGCTTCATACCTAGTACACTTAGTTTAAAAATAATTACTTCTGATTTTTTCATGTAACAGCTCATAAAAAAGTCTACAATAATTGCTTCGAACGGTAAAAATTTCGAACTTATATGTAAATGTAAGTTTATTTGTAAGTTACAAAACCCCGTGTACAATACGACCGTTTAATAACAGAGAGATACAATAATAATGAGAAATTGATGAGCTGAGTACGTGGTAATACAGCCTTTCAAGATGTTATTATTCAGATACTACTAACAATAGAGACTTTAAGTATTATTTATAGAATTTTTAAGACTTTTGACAATTATTTTTTTATATATTTATTCAAAAATGTGTATCAAAAATACTTCAAAACCTCATTATTAGTGTTACCGTCCGTATGATGACAACTTATTCATACAGCTGTGTAACCACATAATAATTTCAATATTCAATTTTTTTAAATTGTTTTTCTTTTTTTTTTTTTTTTTAATAAAAAAGGTATATAAACCTACCTTAGTCAGAACTAAGAACAAAGATTTTGGTAATGCAAGAGTATTTATAGTGTATAAAAGTTAGATAACTTGTAAATTTTATTGTTGTGTTTTTGAAATAGATAATTTTAAGACAGTAGAATTTGGAAAAAACTATAAAAAGTTGATGGGAACAAAGTTACTATCAGAGTGTTGACAGTTGTGTAGATTACCGATTATTCAAGAGCAATCATTGTGGGTTACTTTTATGCAAGAAAAAATTACTTTTTAAGCATAAGCACATAACTCAATGTAATTAGAATTGCATGTTGAGACACGCACTCACAACTTTCTCTTTTATACCTAAATTAAGTGGAATAGAAAGTAACAGATAAATTTCTATTTTTTGCTGGCAACCACTGTGAATTTTGAATCGCGTCAAATAACTTAACGTACCTAACTTATAATGACCTTTTCTTTGTTCCCAATATGATGAGGTCCTAATAACACAGTTCATCCAAAATTTCGAATTGGGCTCTATATTATGCCTAACAGGACGGATGTTAAGAGTGTATAAGGTTCTACGTCTTCTACTATATTACATAAACTAGCCCTATACTCACGTCCATTTAGTATTCTGGAAACCATCACAACACGTTAGTTCTTACCCCTCCACATCTCAGTCATAAAAGCAGAAAGGAAGTAATATAGATTGAGCATGCAAATAATACTATATTTTCAAAATTTGAGAATACCTACATACATATAATTTTTGCTGTACAATACTACTAAAACTTGACTGCTCATGGTGAGCTTAATAAACAGTATTTATGTCATTCCCTTGCTCTCTGCTAGCGCTCAAGTTACAGTAAACTTGTTTGAAGAACATGATAAATAAAAAGATAAGTGTATTTCCACCTACACCTTGCATTCTTATCTTTTACAAATTTCTATATGTATATTATATCGCAGTATATTATTTAAATACTTTGTTTTGTCTCCAGTGTTAAATACCCTCCTTCAATCGTAACTGAATTGTAGTGCACTACTACACTTACAATCTAAGTTCAGTGATAAGTTTAAAAAAAAATACAAGTTTAGTTTAGATCAATATAACTTTAGTTTTTTTAAGGTGCCCATGTTTTTATATTGTGCATTACTAATGTGGGGAATTCTACACTCTCCCCATAGTCCCTCAAATACCCCTACAGCCCTCCCACGAAATAAATTAAAATTCTATCGAATATTCCGTTAGTTCAGGCCAACGACATTTCATGGAAGCCCCTCTTCCCTACCACATAGCTGCTTTACGTATTTTAAGATGACTCCACCTTATTATGTACAGAACCCTACAATTATTCAATTGTGCAGCATTGACAATGTAATAAACAATATAACAAGAAAATATGTTGTATCAAGAAAACCAGCTTATTAAATTTAAGCTTATTACAACGCTCATAAAATGCTTAAGCTGGTTCACTTTTTTTGTCATTATTTTTTTTTTCTTCATAAAATTTGCAACAAATTCCTAAAATGATATGACATAATAATATTTTTTATATAAACCTTCCTGTATTATACAGTATTTTCAGCAGGGCTCTCAACGCCCCTCCTCCTTCTCGGTTCCCCTTACTCATATTTGACTCCCCTCAGATCCTTCTCAAAACAAGAGAAAATTTATTTTATTTTAATGGGAAATTAACCCAAAAAACTTTTGATAAAGCCTCTCTTTGTCATAATTTAACCCTCCATTGGCACGCCTCACACTTTTTCCTTCCCTGTCTCAGCCACCCTTCAGACCCCATCAGCCTTCGCATAGCTCCTTATCAGAACAAAGAATAATTAGCTTTATTTCAATGTAAAATTAATGCAATAAAATTTTTAATTACCCTCCTACACTGTCCCACACTTTTCTTCTTACTCCGACTTCCCCCCCCCC